CCAACAGGATCATTGTGGTTTAAGATAATTGCATAGCTTAGCATAGTTGTAAAACTGCAGTTGATTCTGGCACTGGGAGACTGCCTTTGATGAGTGTCAGGTTCATCTCCTGGAATGGAGTGCCAGTTTGTCCCACGATCCATCATTTATTTATTTAAATCTAAAATAATCAAGACCGGTTCCCAAGGCCCTATGGAACTGCCATAATAAATTATGCAAAAATACTGTCAAGTTAAGCCTCAGCAGTTCAGCCAACTATCTACCTCCACTGTAAGCTGGAATGTGTGTCTGCCTCCTCTGAAAACCCTCTTACATAAAAGACTTTTGCAGTGTGCCTGGAAAATCAGCAGATTTGGTATCTTTAAAAGAAATGGAGGAAAAATTTCCACAACCATCAAATATAACACTTTGCAAGTGCTGTGCTATTCCCAGTTACTGGGAACTTCTGAGGAAAGGCCATTTCTTGGTGTTGCAGACCCAGTCCACAGAGGACTGTACTGTGCACACAAAACTGAGTGAGAGGATGAGACACTCTTAATCCAAACACAGAGACTAAGGAAAACTGCAAGGGGTGACCATAGATAAATTCTTTCTGCTTACCCAGGAAAGCACCATAAACTCCAAGAAGACTCTGAACACTGAACACAGCTCCTGAGATACCAGTATCTTATCTGTGTATTGAGTCTGAGTGGCAAGGTTTTGGTTTGGGGTGCTGCACAGGTGGTTTCTGTGAGAAGCTGCCAGGCGCTTCCCCATGTCCGACAGAGCCGATGCCAGTTGGCTCCAAGACGAACCCGCTGCTGGCCAAGGCCAAGGCCATCAGGTAGTGCCTCTGAATAAAAGAGTTAAGAAAGGAAAAAAACAACAGCAACTTCAGCTGGAGAGAGGAGTGAGAATACGTGAGAGAATCAGCCCTGTAGACACCAAGGTCAGTGGAGAAAGAGGGGGAGGAGATGCTCCAGGTGCCAGAGCAGAGATTCCCCTGTGGCCCGTGATGAAGAGCATGGTGAGGCAGCCGTGGCCCTGCAGCCCACAGAGGTCCACAGTGGAGCAGGTATCCCCCTGCAGCCCATAGAGATGTGTGATGAACTGTCTGCAACCCCATTCCCTGCCTTCCTGCACTGCTGGGGGAGAGAAGGTAGAGAGTTCAGGAGGGAAATTAAACCCAGGAAGAAGGGAGGGGTGGGGGGAAGTTGTTGTAAGATTTGGTTCTATTTCTCATTATCCTACTAGGATTTAATTGGCAGTAAACGGAACCGATTTCCCCAAGCTGAGTCTCTTTTGCCCCCAGTGGTACTTGGTAACATAATTGCCCTTATCTCAACCCATAAGCCTTTTTTTTATATTTTCTCTCCCCTGCCCAGCTCAGTAGAAGAGTGACTGAGAAGTGGTGGGCACCCAGCCAGGATTAAGCCACCACATACTCCCAAATATTCTGTCTGGATTTCAGTTGTTTAGCTGCATGAAGCGTGTTTACCAGCATCTAACCCTGAGATAGCCATCACGTGGATCACGTTGTCAGTGTTTGTACCCAAGAGGGAAGGCTGTGTGTGTCTCATGAGACACATATTATGAAAACTGGCTAAGAGGAATGCTAGCAAAGGAAGAAGAAAATTATAAATAAAGTAGGCTTAAAATAGTGAAAATATTTAAACTATTTTTTTTTTTTTACTGTAGAAGCTCTAAACTCTCAGTTCTTTCCCTAAAGCTTATGTCCCTAGTATCTCCTGAATAACTTCCCAGAATATCCTGTTTCTTCCTAGTCTTCACTACTGTGCCAAAAAAGATCAGCTGTCACAAAATACTATTAAATTCCTTTAGCCTCCAAAATGCTTGGCTGTGTCTAGTCTGCCTGTTGGCACTTCTCTTTGTTATCTAGTGACTCCTTTGCTCATGAATTGTCTGGAAAAATGCTTGTCAGCACATTTCAAAATCACACCAAGAATTTCTTGCAAAAAATACAGTAGAATTTTAGCAATTTCAGTTGCAGGAAGCACCTTCTGCAATCAACAGAGATCAACAGACCATGTCCAGCCAAGGACGCTGCCCATCCAAAAAAGCTCTTGACTCAGGGGACTCAAGATATGATATGAGTCTCAGCCTGTTTTCCATGTGCACTTTTGGTTTCCACAATGTCTGTGCCTTGGGATGGATTCTACAAAAAGTCCAGGCTGACTATGGGCCCAGTGGAAATAAAGCACCTTTCTGAAATCTGGTTCCAAAACACAAAAAAGGGAAATGTAATTGACTCCATTGAGTGAATGGAGGCTAGACTTTAGCTAGATCACTAAGTCCCATTTTTCCAGATCTCATGTCTAGACCTCACAATACCAAATAGAGCCAAGTACAAACACTTTCAATTACAGAGCTAAGTACAAACACCTTAAATTATAAAGCAGTTACACTCTCTTTGCAAATCATCCTTAGCCAAGACCACATCCCAAATGGGTTCTGTTTTTCGGAGTTTCAGTAAAGAAGCAGCCTCATGGGAAAGCTAAACACCCTGAGACCAATATTAAATATTGTGTGAAGAAGGTCACTTACCCTCTAAGTATTTTCTGAATGAAAGATTCCTTAGAATGGGGAAAAGTAAAAGGCTGTAGGATCACTTGTAGACATCCTATTAACTCAGGCTGTATATTCAATTTTCTAACATGGTATTGCTGAAATCTCTAAAACAACTCAGCTTTCAAAACTTGCAAGACCACTAAAACAATATTCAAGGATCAGGGAGCACAATCCAGGAGTGGAAGTGGAAGAGTCTGTAATTGATTTTGATGCAATTACCAGCACGCGTAGTTAAATCATACGTGAACATGCTGTATGTGCACCAAAGATGTGTTTAAGCTTCTTTTCTTATGGAAAGGCAATGACTGGTCTGCCTTTTGCATAGGTGAATACAATTTAGACATGTCCATAGGTAAAGCAGACACAGCAGCTGGAGGATTAATTAAACGTTTGCCTAACTACGTAAACAGACAGTGATATATCTTCATAGCATCTGGCAGTTTAACCATTCACTAGTCATCCTATAATTAGCATGCTGATGAATTAAATAGAATCCTGTTCTAATGTAGTGCCAGATGGTCCTTCTGACTTACAAGGGGAATGACAATCTCTGTCATGTTTACTTCAAGGGTAGCAAAACAGCCAAAAAGATCCTTCTTAGACTACAACACTGATGATATAGGAGGTTGCATTTGCTGTCCACAGAAAGCTTTAAGTGTTGCCATATGAAGTAAGCAAGGTTCAGGAACTTTGCATGAAAAGTATGCTTGACTTCCCTTGTTTATTTCTGCTATTTGGTAAAGACATTAGCTGTTTGCTGTGCCTGCAGAAGAACTTTGTGTAAGACAAATAAGCACCATTCCCAAGGTGCTGTGGAACAGGAGGAGGTGGAGGATACTGAAAAGTGCTCAGAGAGGTCTGCTCTGCAGCAAGGCCTGTGAGACGACCCCTGGCCACCTCAGTGGAGCTTGAAGTTAGTCCAAATATTACACAAGTGATTCTTCACTGTAGCTCCATTCACTAGAGAAATTAAATTTACAAAGCAACTAGTGAAATGGCAAGGACAATAAAATAAGGAATATCCATAGAAGAGAAACTAAAATACAGAGATAGTGACATATTTTCTGTCAATAAGTAAAGAAAATTATTATGCAGCCAGCAGAGAATTTCAATAAACTTCAGTATCATTCTGGAGTTTATAACAGACTTTAGTAGAATTAGTAGTCAGATTACAGCAATCTTATTATCAAAGAATGTCTTGTAACTAAGAACCTCTGGGAGAAGACATTGTGCATGACAGATAAATCTCAGTGGTTCTTTCATTTTGAAGCTGGATGCAGCCTGCTAGGCCCAAGTCTCCTTCATGACAACTATTGCTCGTGTTCCAGCTGAGCTCCAGCCAACATTCTGAACATTAAAACTTGCTGACTTGTTTTTACTCAGCCTATCTCTGTACAATCCTTTTCCCTTAAATAACAAATTATACTGTCAAAATGTCAGCGTGGGGACCCTGTATAGACTGCTACCTTGTCAGCATAAGCAACACGCTCCACGGTAATATCCTAAATCCCCTGCTACAGAGAACAAGTTCTGTTAACTTCAGGATCTTCCAAACTGTATCTAGACTGATGGAGATCTCAAACTACTTTTATGGGGGCTCCTGCAGTGATTCTGACTTTGACCATTGCACAGTGAAGATTAGTGGTCCGTGTTACAGCGAGACTGTGAAGGTGCAAGGCCATGCTGTGCCGCACACCAACAGCATCACCTTCAGGCCTGTGCCATGCTGCACTTCTGCCTCCGTGCGGGGCAGATTCAGTCGGGTGATGATAACAGAGGAGCCTGTGGGCAGCTCCCACTCCATACCACTGATTACACGTCTGTGTGGCCTTGCCTCTATCTCACAGCACACCAAGAAGTTCTCATGTGAACATCCTCTCTGTTGAACGTAGAAACAATGAATTGAGTTGTTTTCTTGTAAGAAAATCCTATAAAAGCTTGAATGACCAGAGCAGACTAATCCTTCCTTCTGGTGGGGTCTGCAGGGCGTGCTGCTACTCTCTGGGTGCTGCACAACACGGAGTTCCCAGCATCTAAAGGCATGTAAGTTTAACTCTACTGTCCTTCTTTTCTATACTGCTAGTTTTTATAAGTCTTTTTTAAACGATGCTTTACGGAATCCAGGTGCTTTTCTTACTGGGATCGTAACCCCGGTGTGCAACCCCCTTGTTACAGCCGGCAGGTTCCAGTCAGAAACGTCTCTCTGGAGAAAGGACCCTGAGGAAGGGAGGGAGGGGGAGCCCGGCAGGGTGCCTGGGTGACTGCCCAGGGTGCAGCGGCGGCCGGGCTGCATGGCGAGCCGCCCCGGTGGCTCCCGCGGCGGCCGGGGAGAGCAAGAAGGGGCTGTCTGGACGTCTCACCCGGCCGAAGTACTGGGACGTAGGGACGGGCAGGGGAAGGCAAAGCCGGGGGACGCTTGCCCTGNTGTAGTAGAAACTGGTTGACTGAGATGATCCATAGACTTAAACTCTTGGGAAGAATTTATTTGAGTTAGGAAGCTGCTCCAATAAAAATGTAACTGACTGTAACTTCTTCTTAGTTGTTCAGCAGATCGTAGCCGGAAAAGTGCCCGTCCCCCTCTCGCTGTTCTTAAGCCTGTGGATTCTCTGAGTGCCAAGGAAAGCGCAGCAGCAGCAGCAGCAGCAGCCTGTGTAAGGAAACAGTTCAGCCCATGGCAGATTTCCTGCCCAGGAGGCACCAGGGCAGCCTGTGCTGCTGTCACACTGAGTCAGCTTGGCTGGAGTGGCATCACGTGTAAAAGCAAGGCTTCCAAAGTGCTGCCTGGCATGGCAGTAATGGAACAGGGGTGATGATGAGATTATACTGGAAATATCATCTTGTGGCTGTGGCTGCCTTGTCCCAGGAAGTGTTCCAGGCCAGGCTGGATGGGGCTTGGAGCAACATGTGGAAGGTGTCCTTGCCCATGGTGAGGGGGTGGAGGGTGATGGTCTTTGAGGTCCCTTCCATCCCAGACTGTTCTGGGATTCTATGATAAATAGAGTTCATGAAGACTGAATGTCCTGTTCATGTTGGATGGAGGTGAAGTGGAAGAGAGGGAAGGGAAATATTCAGCTTTTAACTGAAGAAAAATTTGTCATAAAATCTGCAGGCTTTCACTATGTTTTTTGGGTTTTTTTCAGAATGAGCTGAATGGAATTGAACGTTTGGCTGAGGATGCAATTGTGACAGGCTCCTACAAGAACAAGACCCTTTGTGCCAACCCAGAGGACATGTGTGACTTTAACAGGGCTGCCCACCTGGCCTCAACACCCTTCCACGGGGTGGTGGCTCAGAGGGTCCCAGCTCCTGCTTTCTCTCAGAGTGAACTGAAGGAAGAAGATAGTCCAGAATCCAGGAGTGCACCTCTGGCTTAGGAGACACCAGTGTGTGCAGGAGTATACATGAATCTTGGAAAGTGCAGAGATGGAGCCCCTTGGAGAGTAGCAGTGTGTCGCTAGAGGACGTGGACCGATTCATACAAACAGGTCTCAGTGGTGTCATAGAAAAAAAAGAGCTTTTATTTTCCTGACTCCAGTATTTATAGATTTTTTTGTCAATGACCAGGGAGGTATTGGGTAATTGTTATAAATGAAATGCAACCAAATTTATCAATAATAATTTTATTGAACAATTTGTTAATTTTAGTTATGGAAACAACCACATCACAGTTAAGGTTGAAGCGTCGAGCCTGGGATCGGCACTGGGTGAACTCTGAATCAATCTCTATTGCCCTGATTCCTCCAAGTTCAGCCAGCGAACAACCACAGTCCAGAGAGGTCACGAGCTAGCTCAGGAGCTCTCCGAGAACTCTAGAAGACCAAAAGGACATCTTCCAAACCGTGGCAAAAATTTGCTCTTAAAATCTGAGTGCACAAAGAACCCACGCAAGAAAAAGGCACCGTAAGTATTGCCTGGTTGAGCAGGGCAATTGAGCGTGATTGAGACGTGATTTTATCATGAAGTGAGTGTGGACACCAAGGCTGCAGCTCTGTCTTCCTGCGAGGAAAATGGTCGGCCATGCGGGAAGCGTGTGGAAAATTCCCAAAAAAATCCTGTCAAAAAACCCCGAATGGAAAGTTGTCAGGAGGGGAGGGGGACTTTTTGAGAAAGAAGCACAGCTCACCTCGTAGTTCTAAAGGGAAAGTTCCAGTGGGGAACGCATAAGAGTCATTCCCAACTCCTGTTAACCCAAAATTGGGTAAGAGTGGTTTTTGGGGGGAAATCTTGGGAAAGGGTCTTGGTTCACCCAAAGGGAGAGGTTCCGGGAACGCGCAGACTACACAGTCTCACGGTATGCCTTCAGTGTGGTACATACTTTTGGGAAGATTTGGGAAGAAAGAGGATTGATAAATACTAAGGGAAAAGACCTAATCCATGGGGAAATAATCCGACAGATTCTAGAGGCTGTCCGAGAGCCGGAAGAAATATCAGTTGTCCATGTAAAAGGACACCAGACGGGGTTGCAGTTTCAAACCCGAGGTAACAACCTAGCCGATAAAGAGGCAAAACGAGCAGCTCTGCTCACCGTAAGTATTCCCGAGGTAACTCCGGAGGAATCGCCTGAAATCCCCGTGCTCCCTTCAGAGAGGGAGATTGAAGAATTCAAGAAGATAGGGGGAGTCATGAAACAGGGAAAATGGTGGTTACCTGATGGGAGGGAACTAATTCCGAAGGGAGCGGCAAGGAAGGTATTACAAAGACTACACAAACAGACCCATTGGGGAACTCGGGCACTGGCCGATCAGTTCCTGAAATTTTTCGGGTGCAAGGGGATCTTTGAAATTGCCAAACAAGAGGTACAGGGGTGTGTGGTTTGCCAAAAGGTGAATCGATCCAGGTCCAAACAAACTGTCTGGGGAGGGCATCCTCTCTCATACAGACCATTTGAAAGGATCCAGGTAGATTTCACTGAATTACCAAAAATTGGTAGACATAAATTTTTATTAGTAACAGTTGACAAACTAATGCACTGGGTGGAAGCCTTTCCTAGAGCAGGGGCCACAGCCCAAACAGTGTCTAAAATTTTATTAGAAGAAATCATCCCTAGGTATGGGATAGTAGATTGTATTGATTCGGATCAAGGAACTCATTTCACTTCAAAAATTATAAAACAAATTTCAGAGGCTCTGGGTATTAGATGGCAATACCACACCCCTTGGCATCCTCAAAGTTCAGGACAGGTGGAAAGAATGAACTAAACACTTAAATTCCAATTGTCTAAACTCATGATAGAAACAAAAATGTCGTGGATTAAGTGTCTTCCCCTTGCTCTGCTAAATATAAGAACGATGCCTAAGTCTGAAACGGGTCTGTCCCCTTTTGAAATGTTGTATGGGATGCCATACAAACATGGAATGCCGGTGGGACACCCTCAAGTGGAGGATGTGCAAATACAACCTTATCTCATTGCTATCAACAAAAATTTACAGGACCTGCGAAAACAAGGACTAATTCCCCAAAGCGCCACTCTAGGATTCGCTATACACCAGATACAGCCTGGGGATAAAGTCCTCGTCAAAACTTAGAAGGAGCTTCCCCTCACCCCCCATTGGGAAGGACCGTTCCTCGTTCTCCTGACCACAGACACAGCTGTCCGGACCGCAGAAAGGGGCTGGACACACTCATCTCGAGTAAAAAAAGTACAGGATTACGACGCCTCCGAGTGGAAAGTCACCACCCCTCCGGGAGAGCTGAAAATTAAACCTCGGCGTCATCACAAATGACCAGTGATAACCAGATAAGTTGTATCAACCCTGAATGTGATGGTTTTCTGTTTATACATTTTAAGTGCACTTATTGTAAACAGATTTGGGTAACCCACTGTTGGGGAGGGTACAAGCCTAAGGGATTGTGTACCAAGTGTCTAGAAAAAGAACAGGAGGAGACTAGCCGTCTCTTAATACTTGCCACCCGGGCGGGGTTTTTAAAACTTGACTCTCCTAAGTGGTATCTGCTTTTTCAAAAAGGGATAAGAGATAAACTAGACTCCAAGACAGAAGCTTTGAAAATCGAGTGCCGAAAGACAGTTAAGGTACCGTGCAGGACAGACACAATCAAGTCGTCTCGGTGGGCTACTTTCAAGAGAAGGTACGCCATAAGGACTACAAGGGCCCCTGAAGAATATCCTTGCTGCCAAGAAGATGGTAATCCCCGCCGTATATTTTTATACGGGCGAAGGGTAAGGCAGAGGGATACAACAGTGGGGAATCCTGATTGTCCCGAGTCTAGCCATGTGCTTGGCCGAGGGAATGAGCCCCGAGGTACCTCTGGGGGAGCGTCTCCTGGGGATGTGTGAGCAGTGTCAGACTGCCACAGATACCGGACGAATAATTGACTGTCCTCCAGAACGACAAAAGGGGTTTTGTTTGTCTAACGGCACTCAGTATAATCTCTGTGAACTAAAGGGGGGAGGTCTGGTGTTACCACTCAGGGGCAGGTTTTAAGGACGGGCAGTCTAAGACTCCTATGAGAAGAAAAACCAAAGCTACCCACTTCAGGTATAAGAGAGAAGTGGGAATGCTTCCTCCAATTCCAATCTGTAGCCAATGCTACAAAACTGTCTAGATAGGAGGAAAAAGACAATCCACCTTTTTAGCATATTATAAAGTCAACCCTTTGTGTTACAATAAAGCAAACTTAAAAATGTGTACCATAGGAGGAAAATTGTATTGGGAAGGTAAAAATTTAAAACATGAAGAAAAAGCCTCCTTTAGTAATGAACCGATAATTCTTGATTTGTTAAAAAGTGATGATGACCGAGTATGTTTACAATTTGATCAAGTGTTCTGCTTCTCCAGAGATATGAGGAAGGGATAGACCCTGAAAGCAAAATAAAGCAACTAACCCTAGAATTAAAGAGGTGAGAAGTAGAAATTCGGAAAAAGAGACTAGAAAAAGAGAGACTTAACTCTCTTAGTGAGCACTATGAGCAATTAGAAAGACAATACAGCAACTGGGGATTACCAGCTCCCAACCAGAATCTTTTCACAGACCTAATGCAAGAAATAGCCACAGAATTAGGTCTATCTAACTGTTGGATCTGTGGCAGTTTAAAGTCGGCTGAAAGGTGGCCTTGGAAGGGAGAGGGACTCACCCCAGAGCAACTCCTAAAATGGGAGGGCTCAAAAATGTCAAAAACAACACAAAGACCCGAGGGATGGGTGATAGACCAAAGAATAATTGGTACCGTCTTCATTAGCAGAGAGGGAAAAGAATTCACAGAAGTAGTAGGTTATACTCCGTGTATAAACACACTCACAGTGAATTCTGACATTAAATCAAAAACTTGGCAACCTGAACCACCCACGGGCTATTGGAGTCGCACCCAGGGTAATCACTGTGAATGGGTTGAAATAGTTGAACTATGTTGTTACAAAAACTCTGGGGCCAATCCCTTCCATGCACTAGAAGGCCTAAAAGAATATTGGGATGATCCGGCAAGAACAAACAAAGGCTGGGAAGCTCCTGACGGTATTTACTGGATATGTGGCAAGAAAGCATATAGTGAGCTACCTGAGAAATGGAAGGGCTCCTGCACACTCGGAATAATTAGGCCCTTTTTCTTTACTCTACCCAGAACAGAAAGTAAATTGCTGGGAGCTCCCCTCTTTGAAACNCCGGGGAGATGCTCCTGCCCCGCCACCGCCTCTTTCCCCGGCCGGGCCGGGCCGCAGCCGCCCGGGAGGCGCGGCGGAGGGAGCGGCGCTCACAGGCTGCGCTCCGCTCCTGATGCCCGGGCACGGCAGGTATGCGATGGGTTATTGCTGTGCCAGGCGGCGGGGCAGGGCCAAGCCCAGCGCATGGAACACCACCCCACTACCCCAAGAACGAGCGGACGAATGCGAACGGGTTGGGTGGGGCTGGCGCGGTGGGAGGGTCGCAGGCAAGGATGTCATGCTGGACAGCGTCAAACGCTCTGCAGAAATCTAGGCAGATGCCTTCTGCTCTGCCGCAACAACCCACCAACGTTGTAGCCCCAGCACAGAAAGTCAAGGTATCATTTTCCCCTAGTAAAGCCGTGGTGGCTGTTACCAGTCTTTGTTTTCCAAATGCCTTAGTATAGTTTCCAGGAGAATCTGCTCCATGATCTTGCCGGGCACAGAAGCGAGACTGACTGGTCGGTAGTTCCCTCTCTCTTCTGCTTTCCCGGTTTTAAAAATGGGGGTTATATTTGCCTTTTCCCAGTCATTGGTGTCTTGGTTTCAGACAATTTAAAGGAGAACATTTTGGAATGAGTTGTCTCCCTTTATAGGCAAATATATATGAATACATCTGACTTGCATCCACCTTAGGGAAAGGTGAGCTGGTTGTTGTCACCTTCAGGCTAGTTTGTGATAACTTCCAAGATCCCAGAGCAATTTGCATTTCCTGTTCGAGCTCCTTGTGTAATGAGGGCAATCCATGTACTCCAGGTAGCATTGGTGATGTGACATATTGCAGGGACCTTTCCTTTGAACACCCAACCCCACATTGGTGGTCAGAAGCTGTGCTTCAGTGCCTATCACTTCTGAGGCAGCTCAAACCCCTTCACAGGCTGCAAGAATCTCTCCTGTAGTTGGGGTGCAGCTGGTCTCATATCCTCTGTATACCTGGCTCCAAAACCCAGGAGGTCATCCTCTAGTCTTTCCAGGTACTTTCTGCCAGAGGCTCCATGCTGTGGAGTACAGCATGTTATTCACATCCTGTCCTGCCTGGCCCAAAGGCTACCGTGTGTGTAATTTCTTTTTTGATCTGTTCAAAAGCTTGCTGTTGGTCAGAGTCCCATTTGAAACAGTTTTTCCTCTCTGTCACAAGGTAGAGAGGGTTTACAATCTGGTTGTATCAGAATACAGATGTGTATCCTCCAAAAACCCAAGGTGCATAGGAAATCCCATATTTTTTACTTTGTGGTCAGTGAGGACATGGCAGCTATCTTATTAATCACCTTTGCTGGAATCTGTTGACAGCCGTCTTGCTACTTCACTCCTAGGAACTGAATTCCCTGGGCAGCTCCCTTGACCTTATTTTGTTTAATGACAAAAACAGCTTTCAGGAGAATCTGAATTTTTTTCTCCCCTTTTTCAAAAATGTCTTCTGCTGTGTTTCCCCATAAAATGAGGTCATTGATAAACTGCAGGTGTTCTGGAACCTCAGCCTTTTCAGTGCAGTCTGGATCAGTCCATAGAAAATGGTGAGACTGTGCTTCCACCCCTGATGCAGTCAATTCCAGGTATACTGCATGTGCCTCCAGGTGACAGCAAACTGTGGCCTGAACTCTGCTGCTACAAGAATAGAGAAAAACACATTTGTCAAGAGTGGGGTCCCATTTTGCTGCCTTGGACTCCAGTTCATACTGAAGTTCCAGCATGTCTGTCACGGCAGCACTCAGTGATGGTGTGACTGGATTCAGAATCACAGAATCATCTAGGCTGGGAAAAACCCCCAACATCACCAGGTTCAACCCGTGACCTAACATTACCTTTTCAACCACACCATGGCACTGAGTGCCACATCCACTAATTTCTTAATCACCTCCTGGGACAGTGACTCCAACACCTCCCTTGGCAGTGTATTCCAATGCCCAATCACCCCTTTATGGGAAGTTCTTCCTAGTGTCCAGCCTAAACCTCTTCTGGCACAGCTTAAATCTGTGTCCTCTTGTCCTGTCACTGGTTTCCTGGGAGAAAAGGACAAACCTCTCCTGACACCACCCTCCTTTCAGGCAGCTGTAGAGAGTGGTAAGGTCTTCCTTGAGTCTTCTCTTCTCCAGGCTAAACAACCCCACCTCCCTCATCCACTCTTCATAGGACTTGTGCTCCAGACCCTTCCCCAGCTCTGATGCCATTCTCTGGACACACTCCAGCATCTTAACATCCTTCCTTACTTCCTAGATTAGGTGCCCAGGATTGGACACAGAACTCAAGGTGCAGAATCAGCAGTGCTGAGTACAGGGGAAGAATGACCTCCCTGATCCTGCTGGCCACGCTACTCCTGATACAGGCCAGGCTGTCATTTGCCTTGGCCACCAGGGCACGCTGCTGGTTCATGTTTAGGTGGCTGCTGATCAACACCCCCAGGTCCTTTTCTGCCTGGCCACTGTCCAGTCAGTCTTTGCTCAGCCTGTGGTGTTTCATGCAGTGGTTGTGGCCAAAGTGCAGGACTCAATTTTTCACTTGGACTGGTTAAACCTCATATTGTTGTATTCTGCCCATCTATTCAGCCTGTGCAGGTCCTTCTGCAGAGCCCTCCTACCCTCCAGCAGATCAACACTCACTCCCAGCTTGGTGTCATATGCAAATTTGGTGATGGTGGACTCAATCCCCTCATCCAGATTATCAATAAAGATAATACAGAGCACAGGGCCCAACTGATCCCTGAGGGACACCACTGGTGACTGGCCATCAAGTGGATGCAGCACCGTTCACCACCACTCTCGGCCTGGCCATCCAGCCAGTTCCTAAATGCAGCAAAAAATGCACCCGTCCAACTTGTGGGCTGTCAGCTTTTCCAGGAGCTGGTGTCAAAGGCTTTGCTGAAGTCCAGGTGGACTATGTAGTCCACAGCCTTCCCTCATCCACCAGGTGGGTCACCTGGTCATAAAAGGAGACCAGGTTAGTCAGGCAGGACCTGCCCCTCCTAAATCCGTGCTGGCTGGGTCTGATCCCCCCACCCATCCTGTAGCTGCTGTGTGATGGCACTCCAGATGATCTGTTCCATAACCTTGCTGGGCACTGAGGTCAGGCTGACTGGCCTGTAATTTCCCAGATCCTCCTTCCAGCCCTTCTTGTGGATGAGTGTCACATTGGCCAGCTTTCAGTCATCTGGGGCCTCTCCAGTGAGTCAGGACTGAAGGTAAATGATGGACAGTGGCTTGGAAAGTTCATCTGCCATCCCTCATCTCACCCTAGGATGAATGCCATCAGGTCCCATAGACTTGTGAGCATCTAAGTGGATCAGCAGGTCTCTGACTGCTTCCTCCTGGGTAACAGGGGGGCTATTCTGCTCCCTGACCCCATCTACCAGCCCAGGAAGACAGTTGTGCTGTGGACAACCTGTTTTACTGTTGAAAATAGAGGCAAAGAAGGTGTTAAGCATCTCTGACTTTTCCTCATCTTTAGTTATTCTATTCCCCCCTGCAACCAATTAAGGATGGAGGCTGTCCTTGCCCCTCCTTTTGCCATTAATGTATTAATAAAAATATTTTTATTATCCTTCACAGGAATGGCCAATTAAGTTCTAATTGGACTTTTGCCACTCTAAGTTTTCCTACATGACCTGGAAACATCCTTAAATATTTCCTAAGTTTCTAGGAGAATCCCTGAATTAATTCAGCCCTCTGATTACTACCCAAAAAGACCTGTAGTGGTTTGACCTTGGCTGTGTGCCAGGCCCACTAAGCTGCTCTACCACTCTCCTTCCCAGTGGGACAGGGGACAGAGTAAGATGGAAAACAATCAGTGGGTGAGATATGGCAGTTTTATTACAGTGAAGGGAAAGAAATAAGAAAGAGTCTGCAAAGGGAAAAGTCAATCTCTATTTCCCATCAGTGAGTGATGTTCAGACACTTCCTGGGAAGCAGGGTTTCAGCACGATTACTAATTGCTCTGGAAAACAAACATTGAAAAATAACAAATACCTGTCCCCCCGCTTTTCTCTCTCCCTTAGCTTTTATATCTGAGTTAACAATGGCTGTAGAACTTTACAAAGCAACATACAAGAATAAGCTAAAGGCTATATATTAGGATATTAACAAAATCAACAGATACATAGTTTTATCAATAGCTATACAACTTAACATCAATAACCATACAACTTCATAAAGTAACATACAAGGATAAGATAGAATCTATATGTTCCCATCACCTACATGTTTTTGCTTATTCCAAGGAGTCAGGTGAGCCACAGACAGGTTCATTGCTCCAAGAAGCGTTATCCAACATAAGTTGAATGCAATGAGCAGGCACCCATGGAACTCCAGCATCTGTCAAGATACAGGCATATCCACGTCCCCAGGTAACAAGGTCCCATGGGTCCTCCCAGGCTTGTGTTTGCAAATTATGAACTCAGACTGGAGCAGGGCCATGGGTCCTGTCACTTGGTGACTGTAATGACAAAAACTGCATTAGAATAACAGGTATTGTGCACAAGGGAGGAACAGTAAGATGATTCAATGTAAACACAGCTTTCCAAACTCTTGCCTGTGGGGTTTCCCTTATCATTCCCCCTTATCATTCCCCCTTTTTGTTTTTGAAGAAAAGCTTTAAGTGTAGAATCAAAATGTTCTATAATAGCCTGACCAGTAGAAGACTGTGAAATACCAGTGACATGCCAAAAACCCCAAAACTGCAAAAATTATTTGGTATGCTGAGCTACATAACCAGGTCCATTATCAGTCTTAACAACATGTGGTATACCTAAGGCTGCAAAAGCACCACAACATTTGTGAGATCACATTTTTTGCCTTCTTTCCTGCATGTACAGAGCCCAGCAGGCCTTAGAATAAGTGTCCACAGAAACATGTACATATTTAAGGTGACCAAACTCTGAAACATGAACAACATCTGATTGCTATAGCTGAAGAGTCGGTAGCCCTGTAGGGCTTGTCTCATCCTAAGTCACAGTGACATGTTG